TTAACTATATTTTATAGTTTTAGTAATATATTTATACAATTTAGATATATATCTAGATTTGTATAAATATGACAAATCCAGATAAGCCATAGCTTACCTAGTCGATTTATATCATTCTAGATGAACCATAGCTACTCTAGTAGGTTTAAATCACAGATAAAGTAGTCTGAGCTTCTATTCTTGCTATTCTTTGAATATGGAGTTTATATGTAATTTCTTTCTGTAAAGAAGTTTAAATAAATTTTAATAAAGTTAGAAATATGGCTTTATCTTGAATATAAAAAAAAAAATAAAATAAAAGCATGTAAGCCATATTAGTTAATACAAATTTACAATAAGTTTTAATACTATATAAAGCCAAAGAATTAAAGTTATAGATACCTGCTTTGCAAGATCTAAGTAGAAAGATAGTACAAACTTTTGACAGTATTATATAAAGGATTATTATTATAAAAACTAGAAAATAAACAGAACCAAAATATATAGCAAGACACCTCACCAACTAGATCACTGAGGCCAGAAAAAAAGAATCTTGTTTAGTTGCAAATACCAAAAGACTAGTAATCTATAGATGAAAGTTCTTCTCAAGCTATCTGAATTAGAAGTTTAAAATAGTTAAACTAGAAAATTAAACAAAATCAAGTATATAAAGAAGCACTCTACTAACCAGGCTACTAAAACTAAAGAAAAAAGATCAGCTTAATTGCAAATATCAGGAGACTAGTAATTTACAGGTGAAAGTTTCTTCCAAACTATTTGAATTAGTAGTTTGAGATTCAGTAAATACTTCTAATAGTCTGTAAAGTATATACTAAAGTTTAGATAAACTCTACAAGAGCAGAAGTAGGTAATATTAGTGGTTTTGGCTTGCAAGTACTTGTTTTTAAATTATCAAAGTTTAGATTAACTAGATTGTGGGTACAGAAAGTTCTAGCAGATTTACTCTGAAAATAAAATTATTCTAAAGTTATAACAAATATTAGTTTGAGATTTTATATATAAAAATATATATATAGTTAATATGGGTCTGATATTATAAAAGTAATTTATTAAATATAAATAAAAAGTATTGACTAAAAAGGTTATATTAATATCGAAATAAAAATTTTTACTTACTTATTCTAATAGTTGATAGCCAATTTGTTTCTTTGTTTATAATTTGGACAATAAGTATACAAAAAATTTATAATTTTTGTTATCAGTATTTTTATTCTGGCTCTAAACATTAATGATGCTGCCCGAAATTTAGTAGTTTCGAATTAGCCGAAACCGAAACTAGTTTTACCAGTTTTGGTTATAATTTATTTTTTTAAAACTAGCCTAAAATTCAAAACTATACTAAAAGTCAAAAACTATTCTAAAAGCTCAAAACTCTATTAGAAGATTAAACTATATTATATATTCGAAACTACATTAAAATTATAAAACTATACTAAAAGCCCGAAACTATTAAAATAATAAAGCTCATATAAAGTATAATAATAACAATATTATTCTATAATTGTCTAGAGCAAAGTAGAGGATATTCTGTTTTTACAACACTGTTTGATCGATAGTCTCATGTATATCAGTCTGTTTGTTTCTGCTTACCTGATTGGCTACTACTCACTTATTGATGCTTATTGATACTTATATATTACATGATTGTTATATTTTTTGATCGTATTGTTACACTTTTTTAATCGTTACCTTGCAATACAAGAACAACTTTTATTTATGCACTTTAAAGTAATTAATTTTTTATTGAATAGCACTATGCAATTGTGTTAGTCTTTTTATATAGTAGGCTTTAACAATCATGATACTAATTTAGTTAGATACTTATTTATACCAAAAAAAGAAAAGGCATAATTCATTTCATCGGTTACCAAAAACTTACTATTTATTCTTATTTTTTTTTATATAAGAATCTTCAGATATTCTTCTTCCAAATTCTAGGCTTCTTCTATTTCTAGTTCCAAATTCTTAGACTCCAGATGTCACAGAGATTTTTGTTAACACTTAACAGTTGCATCATAATTATACGGTAGGAATATCCATGATTATATTTTATATTGTAATAATTTGATTATAGATTATTACTATATTTTTCTGATTAATGATGTATTATAACTAAATTGAGTATAGAATAGAATACTGTAATATATAAAAGTAGTCTTTTATTAATAAAATAGGAATATAGTGTAAAGGAACAAGTTGGTTATATATATAATCTGAATATCTTTAATGATTATAATCTCTTTAATTTCCAACTATCATTAAACCTGAATTTTTTAATAAAGTATTTATCCTGCATAATCTATGCAGTGCCCATAACTAATCTGGCATTACAGGTTGTATCTTTCATTGATTACGGTACAATTCCTATTTGCTGACTAGTCACTTACCTGACATCACGAGAGTGACAAATTGCTAAAAATATATATCTACAGCTAATTAAATACTAACCCTAACTCTATGTAATGTCAAGTAAGTGATCTATTGAGTAAATAGCTTTCGGGAAATTAAGTAACAACCTATAAATAAAATTAATTGCTTCTAGTTGAGTATTACATAATTAAAGAATAAATTTTTTAATATTTATTTAAATTTGTAAAACATACAAGTTATATCTCGTTTTATCTGTTTTATTTATAGTTTTACCTATATTATTATTTGCTTTTGATTATCAAGCTGTATATTACATCACATAAACTTTCTATTTTAGTTATTTAATATGAAAAAAATAAGACTATTATTATAATTGTTTACTTTATTGCTATTAATATTTTAATTAGTGTTAGCAAAATAAATTGGAACTGATCTATGAAATACTAAATTGAAAAGAATGGCTTATACATATTCAATAGCATATATCTGCAACTTCTTATATTCAGATATCTTTAGATTTATTTTTAAGCATTTTTGAATTTAGTAAATTGTACATTTATCAAGAGTTCCCATGTTGATATTAAAAAATATATATAGCTAATATATACATATATGTATTGCCAGTATATGATATATTTAGTACAGGTATCAACTAGAATACTAAAAAAATAGAGAAAAGAATGTGTTAATGAGAAAAAAATTATTTAGTGCTTAAATAGTTTCAAAGCGACCAAATAATCATGTGTAATACATGATCAATTTGACAATAGATTGAAGTCAGATTTTTGAATTGGACCATATTTATTTTATAACATGAATTATTAGTATAGTATTTATTAATTTAAAATCTAAAGTGGTAATCAATAAATGATGTAATAAGGTTGAGTCAAATTTGTATTTGTAAGCAAGAGAAAAATTTAAAAACTAATAAATGCTTTTTTTTCAAAACTAATACTTATCTGGTTATGCCAAATCCCTGATTAAGTATGTAGATAATGATAAACTAATATTGATACTGTGTGAATAGTACATGAATTTAAATAAGCATATACATACGTACATATATGAATATGTGTAATTTATTTAGTTGCTTAATTTGGAGCTATATAATTGCTAATAATTTGGTGTCTTACATAAAATCCTATATTTTGTGATAACTTGGCCTACCTTATATAGTGGGGGCCAATACGAATTCAACTAATAATGGTAAGATTCAAGCATAATTATGTTTGCTATTCCTAAAATTAGTTTATATATCAATTGCACTAATATTATTTATTAATAGATTATTCATTAGATATTTATTCTTCGCATAATTTATCTTCATATAATATCTTTAACTTATGCAAAATAGTTTTAAATTACCTTTTTAGACACTTTATTTTTATATATATATATATATTTTTTATTTAAGTTGATTTATTTTTGTATAAGCTACTTTTAATGGCTTCTCAAAATTTATCTTCTGTAACTTTAATGACTTCATATGATTCATCTTTAATGGCTTCGTATTATTTATCTGATAAAGAAGCTAAAAGAGAAACTGAAAATGAAACACGTTCAAAACATCCTGGAGGAAGACCGCCAGATCCTGTTTGGAAGCATTTTGTTGCAACTCCATTAAAATCACCTGGCCATTTTTCTGCACAATGTAAATATTGCGCTACTCAATTTAACCGTAGGTGTCTAAATGAGCTTGTGGTGCATCTCACAAAAGAATGTGAAGATGAAAGCCTTGATAATGAAACAAGAAGCAAATATCTTGAGATTGCAATTCAGAGACAACTATCAAAAGAACAAGCTAGTTCAAAAAATCAATCCAAAAAACAAAAAATAAGTATTAATGATTATTGGGAAAATGAAAATTAATTTTTGGCAAGTCCTAAAAAGGAAACAATTGATTGTATAATTATTAAAGCCTTTGCTATATATAAACTTCCATTCTCTGTAATTGAGAATCTATGATTTATCGATATACTTAAATCTTTACGATCTTCATATGTACCACCTATTCATGAGTATCTTGCTAATACATTATTAAATGAAGAAGTGATTAAAATTAATTGAGAGACTGAGAAATACTTAAAAACTGCAAATAATTTGATACTTGGTAATTAGCTTTAATATACTTATACTAGACTTTAACTTATATGTATAATTATATTAAATTTTATTATCCTATTTTAGGATTAGATGGTTGGATAAATTCTTGGAATATTTTGATTTATAATTTTTTAATAATGACTCCTGATCATAAGGAATTCTTATATGCTCTTTGTGATTTGTCTTATGTTAGTTATACAGCAGATTTACTTTTTGATGAGATTGAAAAAATTTTAATTAAGATTGGATCTGAAAAATTTATTAGAGTAATTTCTGATAATGCCTCAACTATTGCTGCTGCACGTAGACAGATTAATCAAAAATACCTTCCATTATCAATCTTCATTGTATTGTTTATTTTGTTAACCTTATTAGTCACGATATTTTAAAATATAAATTACCAGCACGTATTTTAAAATATTGCAATAAAATATGCTGTTTTTTTAAAACTAGTCATTTAGCTAGAAGTTATCTAAAAAAATATATAGATGAATTGAATATTAGTGGAGGTGGATTGAAAATTTTTATAGAAACTAGATGGATATCCGTGTATAAAACAGTTAATTCTGTGTTTAGACTTAAACTTGCATTAGAAAAGGTGATTTTTAATTTATTAATTAGCGTTGCGATACTTATTCTTACATAATATGCTGTAGTGCTAACACTAATTATTTTAATTTATTTTAAGATTTTAAATGATCATCCTAATGCTATTACCAACCAAGATATACAAATAATTTTAAAGTCTCGAGAATTTTTTCATGACGTGAAACAAATATTCAAAATTTTTGCTCCAATTAAAGCTACAATTTTGTGATTAAAAAGAGCAGATTATATAATAGCAGATTGTTTTATTCAATTAGTTCGTTTAATTGTGATTATTTCTTATATGCCAAAAGAAAGAGATATGATTGCCTTTCAAAATCAATGCATAGAAATCGTTAACAATTGTTGGAATAAACTTGAAGCAGATCTATATATTTTAGCATATATGCTGCATCCTGAATATTGAGGTATATATTATTCTATAGTATATTTATATTTTGTTTATTTAATAATTGATTTTTTTTTATAGGCACTGGTTTAAAAAAGGGAATATATACACAAATTACTCTTTATGCTACACAATTATGACAATCAATGGGATACAAAAATAAATTATTCGCACAAACTCTTATCTTCCAAATTATCAAATTTAAGAAAAAAGAATTTCCGTATAATGTTAGATATGATAGCCAAGTGATGACACTTTCTACATAGTGGAGCTTTATTAAAGATAAGTTCGATAACCTTAAAATTTTGGCCAAAAAAATTTTTGCAATAACTTCATATAGTGCATCATGTGAACGTATTTTTTCTATTTTGGGTTAGTTCTATAGTAAAAAAAGACCGATTAGATTTAAAAAATTTAGAATTACTTACTAAAATTCGATATTATAATTTACTTAATACATATAAAGAGCTATCATATAATGTGAAAAACAAAACTGAAGATGAATTAGTAGCAATGATTTAAAGGTCTTATTTGTTTGAGGCGCCCGAGGGTGAAAATGATAAAAGCGAAGACTATGAAGATGAAAATAATAAAGAATCAAATGATGATTTAGTGATTTCTAATCATCAAGTAGTAGTTCTTATTATTAATAATGTTGTAGATTTGCATCATCAAGTATTTAATCAAGTAGGGGATTTGTATGTCTCTAATGAAGATAACAATAATTCTGATGTTGCTATGAATGAAGATTATGAATTTAATTTAGAAGAATTAGTTCAAGATCTTGAATAATATATATATAAAGTCATGATATATATTATATATATATATATATATACTTATAAATAAATAAATTTATATATATTAAATATGCAATTTAAAAATAAAAAAATTATATATTATTTCTTTATAAAAATAAATAAAATATATGTTTATAAACTACTATATAGAAGCATATGTAATTGCATATATGTATCGTATATATTGCATATGTATTGACATAGCATTAAATTTAGATTTCAGATCACCCACTTATTACCAAAGTAAATCAGACCATTTCTAATGAATTAAGTAACCAGTATGACCCAATTAATCTGATTGTCAGCATAAATGGCCAAACTATATTGAATACCAGGAACATAGTAATGAAATTACAAAGTGTATAGTTAACAGACAACTAGAATGGCTAGTGAACAAAATCTGGGATATAATTGGAAAACTAGGTTTTATAAAAAATATTATATTATGCGTATGTACATACATATATATGTTTATTGATGTGTAAAATATATGTGAAACATAAGTTTGTGATCTTGTGTATATTGATTTATTTAGCTATACTTGGTAGAATACCGTTTATAACATTATTTATTGGTAAAGTTATTGAATAAGGTATAAAATATACCATCTAGCATTGTATACAACACTGTGGGTATTATTCAAGTTCTTTTTTTTTTAAATTGAATAGTACTTGAGAGCACTATGTGATGGTTTGGATACTACACTTGGGTGTTTATCATATAAAGAATAGGTGGTAACTAGTACCTTGGTTTTATTGAGAATATAATATTCGTTAGGATACTTAATATAAAGTTAGACTAAATAATTTATTTATAGAGTAACGTTGTGTGGTAATCTTATAAAACTAGAATAATTTTGTTGAGATTAAATTCTTTAAAATCAGGTGTTTATAAATATGTTAGGCGACAAATTTATCCAATGCTAGTAAGGTTGTTGGTTTAGATAGTTTATTCAAAATCTCTAATTATTTTTTTTATACTTTTTTTTTTAGATGAAAAAATAAAACAGTATATACTGTATAAATTTTTAATAGCTAATTTGCTAATTATGCAAATTTACTAGCTGATTTTGGCTAGCATTTTTGTTGCTAATGAATGGTGGCCCTAATGCGTATATAATTTACTATATTCTATAACATGATCTTCAAGACAAAAACTCTATATAATATGTTTCTGGTTTAAGCGTGCAGCTACCCTAATTACTATAGTTAATTTGTCTACTTTAATAATTTATTATCAACCCGGTTTGTCAATTACTTTGCTAACAACTTCCCTTAATTTAGTCAATAGTAATCAAGCTTATATCAAATTTTTAAGCAGCGATTAAGTGAATACATGTATAGTTTCAGAGTTTTATATAGTTTTGGCATTTTACTATAGATTTAAGATTTTAAATAGTTTCAAAATTTCGGTATAGGCTTAGACTTTAATATAGTTTCAAAATTTTTAACAAGTTTTAGAGTTTTAAAAATTAGTTTTGGTTACCTAAAACTAATTTTGGTTTCAGTTATTAACCTAATATAGTTTCGGGCAGCATCATTACTAAACATATTTATAGAATAAATAGTATTGTTTTGAGTATTAGGCTTTATAGTTTCAAAATAGATATGAGAATAAGCTTTTAATTTTTAAAATAAATATATTTGTTGAAGCTTATTGAAAGATCCTGAATATACATGCTGACGAAATTATTTTGGGTTTTGGGATACAAAATTAAAATTTGAAAACGAAATTGTTTTTGACCTATTTTATTTAAAAGACAAAATTTTTTGACACTTTTTTTAAAGAGATGAAATTATAAAGAACATAACTACCTAAATTAGATTTGCTCTTGCATATAAAAAATTCTAAATTGCTTTAATAGAGATGAAATAGGGTTTTTTTAAAAACCTATTTTGGTGGTATGTATAGTTCTGAAGCAAAATTTTTTATATAAATTTTTTTATCTATATTTAGATTTGATCATATTCATTATTATGATATAGATAATATTATATTAGTAAAGAAAATTTAAGCAAATGTTTATTGCTAAACAAGAATATGCTAATTGGTGAAAAGCTTTTAAAAAAGAATAAAAAAATCTTGCAAATCAAATTATTAATAATATATATATTACTAATATTAATAAATAGATTTGTAATTATCTAGCATTTTTGACAAATCACTTTCTTATTTATAAGCATCTCATAAAACAAAAAAAAAGTAACTGTATAATTTTTTAATCAAATTTAATATAACTACTAGTATTTCTTTATTGATATTTTGTCTGTACAAGTTAATACTATTAAACAACTTATAGTATTAATAAGTAATACTGAATAATTAGAAATAGATTATCAAGATACTAATAAAGAAGATTCACAGAAATATAAAGAATTATATACCAAACTTATAAAAGTAACTGAACAAGCACTTGATATTTTTAAAGATCAACAAAATAAAAGAATTTTAGATAGACAAAAAATATTAAAAAAAATTTTAATGTAATAGAACAAATAATATTTGAAATTGCTTCTTACAAACGAAAAAAAATTACTTTGTATATTTAAAAATTATTTACATAATACTTTATTTTTAATTAAGTCAATAATAATTTATTTGATTTAAAATTTTTTTTTAACTATCGGCAGCCTCACCAGTATCTTTATTAGATCAAAGCATATATATATATATATAATCAACTATCTAAGTTACAGATCTGACATTTCTTGGCTATCCAAGAAGTGCCCAAGAGCAGTCTGCTATACTGGATAAAGCTTTTGTCTATATTAGAGGGCTATACCAAGCTAGCCATTAAAACCATACCAGAATAGCTTCACTCTATTTTCATAAAAATTTTTAACTGACAATAACTAAGATTTTTTTTTTTGTTTTTCCTCCTCTTTAATATTTCTTGTTTCTTTTTTTTTGACTTTTTTCCTAATTTGGTCTTGGTTTGAAATAAACTCCTTTATGAATTCTTGTGCCTGTTTTGTGCTGAGTTTTGGTTCTTTTGCTTCTGGTTTCTTCTTTTTCTTCAGTTTCATATCAATTCCTTCTTTCTTCTTCTATTTGTTAACTGCTAAGCATCTTCATTTCTATATGTTCTTATAGAAAAAATTCTATGCCAGGTTTATCACAGATTCAAAATAATTCTTTGCTTCCTTTAGAGGTTTTATAGTATCGAGAATCTTTCTAAAGTCTTCTCTTGAATTAAGCCTTTAAAGATACCACTTCTTGTTCTGTTTTTGTCTTCTTTTGATGACCCTCAGAACAAGGTCTTAAGATTTATTTTGTCAAGTTGATTTCTTGCCTCTCTTGAAAGATTTGCCCAGGCTAGATTTGTTACAACTTGTTCAGTTTCTTCCTATTTTTCTTCATATTTTTTATATTTAACTAAATGATTCTGGTCTTTTTCTTCATTTTTTCTATACATTATACAAAAAGAATTTTTATATAGGTCTGGTCTTCTGCTGATTAAAGTCTTGAGAACTGGCAATTTCTTGTGAAGACATTTGACCAAAACACCGAAGCGCTTGTTTTTCCTTGGGCTCGTATATTTGATTCTAGATTAGCTTTTAATTTTTCTCCAAAAAATAGACTAATAATATATATTTGCTGCATCTTCTGGTTCTTCCTTCTGTATTGCTAATATTGATCTCCACTTTATACCTATTTGAAAGTCAAGAATTGTCTGTATGAATTGCCTAGTAGAACCTTCTATTAGTAATCCTTCCTAGCACAAAGAAGCATTTGATTCTTGAAGAGGTTTTTTTATAATGCTATCTCTATCTTCTATTTTGGCTCCTTGTTTTGCTAATTTATCTGCTAAATTATTCTACCTATTTTCGCTATGGCCTTTAACTTTTACTAATTCTAATTGAATATTCTTAATTCTAACTATATCAACTATGCTATTTATTAAATTATGATTTTTTTTATTTAAAACCTGTTGTATTTTTTTTTCTTTTCCCTTCCTTCTATACCTTCTATCACTAAAATGCTGCCTGTATAAATTTTAGCTTTCTTTTTTCTTAGGAGAGTGCCATTTATCAGGTGATTAGAGTTTCACTAAGTGGCTGACCCTCTTACCCCACCTGATAATTTTTCTGAGTATTTGATTGGTTAAAATTTAATAATTTATTAGCTAATTTGTGAAATTGGCAATAACTTTTGATCTACTGGTCCGTTTGGAGTGATTTTACTACCAAAATGTTCGTCTCAGTGAGAGGATTCTAACAAGCTCAAAATTGTTAAAATCCAATCACAGGATCCCGAGATCGTTATGATTTTGTGTTATTTTATTAGTAATTTTTAGATTACTATTAAA